GTCCAAAGGAGCTGCTTTCTGTCCTGCCCAGGGGAGCTTTGTGGAGACACCCCGCGAAAGGTTCCAGGTTTCTCCAACCGGTAAAATGCAGTTAGCCAGTGGCCGCCTTCAGAACCTCCAGACTCCTATCTTTGCTTGTCTCAGGAGGAGGACGGCCGGCAGCTCCCACATAGTCCCTATTGTCCTGGGGCTTGGGGACCGACCCAGAGCAGAATGTGAATGTGAGATCATTTTCCGTAACAGATCTAATTAGCTCTTTGACTGACAAGGGAGGCAGAGGCCAAGAGGGATTTAAACAATCCACTGCTCACATAATTCAAGAAAAGCAAAGACCCAGACCGGGGAAGAGAGAAAACAGGAGAAGGGAGGGAATTTTGGAGATGGGGGAGGGGGCCAAGGAGCACAGGAAGACTATCAAGTGACCAGAGTAAGAAGCCTTTGTTCCTCCAGCGTCACCCCTGCCTCCAGTGTCCCCCTCTCTCTCCCAGGCGGAACTTACTTGACGGCTGCGGATTTCTCTGTCTGACTCCATCCTGCTGCCCTCCGGTCCCCTCGCTGGTGCTGGACAGACTGCGTGGGCTCGTGGGCTTTGCTGTGTGCGGCTCGGTGCGCTCTTGGGGTGGGAGCGAGCACACAGCTGCAGGACAGACCTGCTATTCATCCAGCCCATGCGGGACGCCGGCCTGGCCTGCAGCCCCTGGGGGCAGTGTGCGCGTGCACACGTGTGTGAGCTTGTGTGTCCACACATGTGTGTTCTAGGACATGGCACGTGGCGCATCATTGTTTTTTGAGATAGTAGCAACAGCATCTTTTTACCAGCGGCTCCAGCACCACCCCGACCCCAGTCGAGGTAGCCTGGGGCTGCTTTGAGCAAGTAGTTTGGCTGCCAGGAAAGAAGTTCTGCGCATGTACCAAGGAGATTCGAAAACAGCCTGAGGGTATTTTCTGACTTCACAACGGTGGATCTGAGGGTCGCCAATCACCAAGCGCAGAGTGGCCTTCAGCATGGTCACAGGCTAAAGTTTGGGGGATTTGTGCAATTCTTTGCTTGGTTCCATCAGTCCCATCCAAAGTTGAGAAAAGAAGAGAAGAGAGGAGAGGAGGGGAGAGAGGAAAAGAGAGGAGAAAGCCGGTTTCCTTAATAGGTTCAAAGCACAAGCTTTACTCTACAAATAACTAAACATAAATGTTTATTGACAAATAGTTTGACGCCCTCAACTTCTCCCTTAATGTAAGAGGGCTTGAAATGCTTCAAATTCTCTTCACCCAGGTAGCTGAGTTTTCTCTACTTTTCTTTTTTGAAACATTTTTCTCTTGTTTGTCTCAGAGCCTGAACTCATCAGCCTTCTTCCAAGAGCTGGTTTTAGACGCTTGGCGGTGCTGGCGTGGACGTGGGGGTTCGCCTGTGCCTGGCGGAGCGGTGATCCGAGAGAAATCCCCTTAGAGAGCTTAAGTGGTGGAGGGAGGAAAGAGTCGGATTTGCCTCACTGCACTCAAATGTACAATTTAAAATAAGTAATTTCTTTAGTTCTATTAAATATCTTTACCAGTTCCCATCCTGCTAGACTGTGGTGGGAAAGAGGCTTGGACAATGGGGTGAGCATTACGCCTTGGTCTAATCTCATAAGCACAGTTGTGTTTCAATGATCTAAGTGGCAAATAGTGCAGTTTAGATAGACTGGATTTTAGATTTCCAGCCCTCTCTCCCTCCTGGAGGGACGTAGGAGACGGACTTATCCCGCAGCCTCTCCATCTGGTTTTCTGCTGTGGGACGCTTATGGAGCAGGCCATCTTCCGCCTGCACTTGCTGGCTGTGAGGAGAGGCTGGTCCTGCTCATGTCGTCTGCCTCTTTGGCTGCCAACTTGGCTCTTTGGATGACATGACCAGCCATGTGATGTGGGCATGACGTGTGTGTGTGGGGCGAACCCAGGCGCACGTACTGAATTAGGCATGGAAAGCCCTGTCTCTTAGCATGCGAACCAAGAGCATGAGTTGTTTTTTCTGAATTAGAACCTCAGTGTTCATGTTTAATAGCAGCATTGGCACTTTGCAATAAATAAAGAAGTGAATTTTGGGTTGTAGTTTGGGCCTTTGGTCTCTAAAAGGTTCACCATCACTGATATA